GCTAACGCTAGTGTGAAAAGGCTTTTGATAACACACATATTTTACAATGAATGATCTGTTACGCTAACAATATATGTCATTGCCAGACCAAAAACCAATTAGGTTTCATCCCGACTGCCAATATGTTGAGGAAAAGCCCAACTGCCAATATGTTGAAGAAAAGCAAGGAAGAGATGGAGGAGAAGTTGAAGCTGTCGGAGAAAGCGGGGAGAGTGCTGATGAACCAAACAAGATCGGCAATTTATGCGGTTGAGCAGGCAGCAGGACGCATGGGAACTGCACTTATGAACAATAACTATGTTGCAACTGGTGCTAGAGGCTTTTCTGATGCACTTGATAAAGCCTCAAGGTCTGCCTCAGAGTTGGGAATTAGGAAGAGAGAGAAGTAAATTCAATATAACCCTAATTCCACAAACCCATGGACATATGAGTCTCTTAAAGTTGTGTGTACTTCTCCCTATTAACACTTAATAGTCAGTTTATGAATAACATAACCATCGTGTATATGTAATTATAAGATTGAAGCATCAACATTATCAACATTATTACTAACATCATATATCCGCATTTTAAGAAAAATGCAGCTAATAGTATTGTAGGATATTTTCAAACGTGTAATCATTTGTTTGGGAGAACATTTAGATGTTCTATATTACATTATGTAACAAGTATCTAGGTCTTAATATGTAATGAGCTTGTGTGTGAATGTGTGCGAAGACCCTGCAAGTCTACAATAAGATATGTTTTGGACAGAAATTGGAATGGTTGGTTATATTTATGAGGGTAGTTTTGATATAGACGTCTTTTTTTTTTTAATTTCTTGGATTAAACATCTGCTTCTTTTAATAATTTAATTAAACATTCTTCCTACAATTAAGGTGCCACTTATTTTATAAGTAACATCCTTTTAATGCCATATTACAAGATTTGCCATTATGATGTTCCTTTAATTAATTAATAATTATCATGTTAATATCCCAAATCTCCTAAAATGTAGTAGATTAGTTTTAAAAATCTTAACACATCAAACCTGATCTAATTATTTTTCTAACGTGCATTTTATTCCTAACTCCATACCATACAAGTAACTAACGTTCTATCTTCTTCTACAACCATTAGCAATTTTTTTTTCATGTCACTGCTTTCCTCGATTGGCCAATCAAACCCTCTTTCGTTCTCCCTTGTTGGTCATATCCATTTCCTTCGTATTTCATTTTCTGTACACCTCTTAATCTGAGTATCTATATCAAAGGGTATGCTTTTTGTTTTTGCAAACTTTTTACCCATCTTTCCATCTTTTTCACGTAACATGATACATTTTGGGAAATAGAATTTAGTGGTACATTTTCTTTTAAATGATAATTTGGTACGTTTCAAACCGATATATTGGTACGTTTTAAGTTAGAATGGGTACGTTTCAATTTAGTATCTGTACGTTTCAAGTTGTTATTGAATGTTTCTAGGTGAAATGGGTACGTTTTAATTTAGCATTGGTACTTTTCAAGTTGTTATTGGTACGTTTCAAATTGACCTGAATACGTTTCAAATTGATTTCAATTTAAAATTCACATTTATATATGAGTACGTTTCAATTTAGCATCGGTACGTTTCAAGTTGTTATTGAACGTGTTTCAAGGTGAAATGGGTACGTTTTAATTTAGCATCGGTACGTTTCAAGTTGTTATTGAACGTTTCACGGTGAAATGGGTACGTTTCAATTTAGCATCGGTACGTTTCAAGTTGTTATTGGTATGTTTCAAATTGACCTGAATATGTTTCAAATTGATTTCAATTTAAAATTCACATTTATATATCTCATGCCGCCGAATAGCACTAATCTCAGTTCAACGACTCCAAACTCATCCTTTTTATGAACAACTTTTATATTTCAATAATAATTTTATGATGTGAATGAGCCAACAAAAGGGGTGTAAACTCTGAGGCCAAAAAAAAAATTCAAAATTCAAAGTTTATAGATAATATTGATGATTTAGTTAATAGCCATTAATAATATCCCTAAAAAAAAGGTATAAATCCTGACAAGCCAAAAAAATTCCCCTTATCAACTAAAAGGATAAAGTGGGAAATCAACATATAGCATTTTTATTTAAAAATAAATAAACTAATGACATGTAAATAAAATAAATTTAAAAATAATTAGGTGGACACTAGTTAAAGCGTCTTAATCAAAATTTTAAAAGAAACAAATGTTTAAGAAAAATTATGTAAAAAAAGAATGAGAGATTCTAATTTTCTCTATTTATAAATTGTTTTTTCTTCTGTATTATTTTTTTCAATATTCATATTAACAACAGTGTATCAAATAAATGTAATCCGATCGTGGATAAAATGACCGAAGGCCCAAGAATAATTCCATGTGGATTTGGCCCGAAGCAAATAATATCAAGTTTGTGAAAATTTTAGTAAACTAAACCATATCGGGCCTCCCAGGGCAAGATTGTCATCGACGAGACAGTGTAATTGGTAGCCAGCGAAAATGGAGGGATGAGACGGCTGGAATTTATGGGAATCATCCGTACGCCCCGAGGGATCTAAAGCTACCGGGATTCGTACCTGGCTTTCTCTCACAGTCCACCATTGTCGGCGTCTACGGCGTCTCCTCCCTACTCGTCGTTTCCCTCACCTGGCTCTTCTCCGGTACTCCTCTTTCCACTCCACTTCTTATCAGATCCTAATTTTATTCAGCTCAATTCTCTAAACATTGTAATTTGCTCAAGTAATTTGATGCGTGAATTGGGTTTGTAGACACAGGCAGAGCACAGAAAGTTTAGACTTTTGAGATCCAAAAAGTTCATATTTTTATTCAACTTTTTGGTGTGATTGCAAATTCATCGGCTTGATTTTTTAATGTGTTGATTACATGTTATGCTTTAAACTAATCTAAAGTGCGGAGATTTGGGATTCGAACTCGGGTGCAAAGAGTAGCACATCCGCTCTAGCCGATGTTACATGGCTTCGCCCACTTATGCTGTGATTACTGATTACATCGCTCTAGCCAACGTAGCTACACCCGTCTGTGGTGATTACTGATTGTTAAAACTTGGGAATTCTTTCATAAGGAATATCCCAATATAATTTATAGTCGCGTTTTGGATTCATGGTTTTGATGTTTTCTATGTATTGGCAATGGAAATCGAATGCTATGTAGCTTTAGCTGTTCTAGTTTTTGTTCAAATCGATAAATTTGACATTTTGAGGGAGACGTTTGAATGTCCTAATCGACATGTTTTACTTTTTGCTATGCACCGAGGAAATCAAAACTTGATAGATGGCTAATGCGCTGGTGGGCTTTCACCGGCCTTACAGACTTGATACTCGAGGGCTATTTTGCGATTGCGCCTGAGTTCTACAAGGATAAGACTGCTTGGTACCCGGCTGAAGTTTGTAAGTTCTGTCTCACATTTTTGTTTAATCTATAAGATTAGCACTGGATACGATTTGTGCAGTTTTTCATCTGTTAGGGCTTGTTCGATTATGTAGTTCTTATGCTGATAGATAAAAAAATTGGCAGGGAAAGAGTATAGCAAAGGTGATTCAAGATATGCAGCTAGGGATGCAGGCGTCGTTGCTGTTGAAGGATTAACTGCAGTTATTGAAGGTCCGGCTAGCCTTCTTGCTGTGTAAGATTTTGAGTTTTGATTATCGCAAAGTTTATATGCTGCACAATGTAAAATTTGATTTTCAAATTCCAATCTCAAAGTAGAATGTATATTGTGTGGGCAGTCATCTTCTTGTCTGTAATTCTAAACATGATTTCTGATCTTTGGCAGGTATGCAATATCTAAAGGCAAGTCATATAGCTACATACTTCAGTTTGCCATTTCGTTGGGTCAGCTCTATGGAACTGCTGTGTACTTCATAACAGCCTACTTGGATGGTGACCAATTTGCTACAAGTTCGTTTTACTACTATGCATACTACATTGCTGCAAACGCCTCCTGGGTTGTAATACCGACGCTCATTTCCATCCGCTGTTGGAAGAAGATTTCTGCTGCAGTACAAGCTCAAGGCCAAGGCCAAGGTCAGAAAAAGAACAAAACTCGCTGAGGTTGACTTCAGATCGATAGAAGTTTTTGTTGTTTCACGTTATGCTAATGTCTTTATTGAAATAATTTGGATCATGAAACTGTCAATCAAGCATTTCAATCTGTAAAGATGTTATTTTTTTTAGTTTTGACCGCAAAGCTTTACAAACGATGAGTGGTTTCTTGCGCTGAGATTAATTGTATGGATTTGATTGTTTGATACTGCTCATATGTTTGGAAAGGGAAAGTTCCTTGGATTTTAAAGTTTTGTTGTAAGCTAATAGGACTAATCTCTTATGCGAGTCTGTAGATTTATTACATTTTCATGGGAAGGCTAGGTTCGTTGTGTTTATTGACTTGCTGTTCATGTCTGGTATCAGACCAAAGAATTTCTCCTGTTTTTTGGGGGAATCTTGCATACCACCAGGGCCCTATAACACTCGCCGCGTATTCCCGGGGTAGCCATGACTCCCCGTCCTAGGAGCTGTGCTTCATGACCATATTTTCTCTTCTTCGAGAAAAGCAATGAGAGACAAAAACCATGGACCTCATGACTGTAAAACGCAGTTGCTCTGTTTTCCAAATGTGCAAAGGGTTGTTGTCACAGTCCTGCTTCATTGAGGGGAAGGACTTACCAATCTAACCCAAGAACGTCACCATGGCGTCCCAAAACAATGATACAATGTCATGTGTTTTAACTTTTTTGCATATTATTGTATTATTGGTCCAGGAAGCTGTAGTGATATTCCGGAGTGGGGAGAAATTCCTCTCCTCGTTGAGAGACTAATGCGACCCTAATTTGTGTGTTCACATTGAGGAATTTGCAATTAAGTCTGGTGGTCTGTTATCGTAAAATCAACGGTAAGGCGGTCAATGATTGCAAGTCTGGTGGGTCGTTATCGCATGATCAACGGTGGTGGTTACATGTCTAAACTATTTATGGGACACTGTTTGTTCAATGGTTTAACCCGTACAAATTTAGAAAATGCTACCTAGCTATAACTTATAAGACCAAAACAAAACCACTCCTCCCTCTCTGTCTCTCTCCCAGGTTTTTTCAGAATGTCCACAGCTGAGAAAATCAGGCACCTGAAAGATTGCAGCTCCATAGAACTGAAGGTAATCTCCTGCAAGGATCTCAGTGCCTTCAATTTCTTCAACAGGCTGTCTGTCTACGCTGCTGTCTCCATCTTCAACGACGAAGCGAAGAAAGAAGAACAGAAGAAACATCTGCAGCAACGCCAGAAGACGCCGGTTGATAGAGAAGGGGACTGCAATCCTGAATGGAACCACCCCATGCAATTCGACACGAAGGACTTGTCCCTGGTTGACGAGTTCGATAATCTCTTTGTAGAATTCAACATACGATGTGACAGCGTCTTTGGCAAGAAGAGCATTGGAAAAGTCCGGGTGCCATTCGCGGACTTGATCGATGATCAGTGCAATGAAGCAGTCAGGTTCGTGAGCTACCAGGTTCGGACAAGCGATGGTAAGCCTAATGGGGTCTTGAACTTTTCTTACAAGGTGATCAAGAAGAACACTAAAGTTGGAATCCGTGATTCCCAGGAATCCGATTCCTCGTCCAAATTAACCACAGCCAGTGTTTATCCTGATCCTGCTGATAATACAGTCCAATCTCTTTACCCCACCTTGGACGTGCAAGTGCAATCCCGGGATTTAAACGTATCCTATCCTTCGCTATCCGATGTTCGGGCTCCTGTGCCGACAATTTCAGTTCCTTCTCCCAAGTTCAATTGCCATTGGAGGCCAGAACCCTACAACATGAAGACGCTGCCATCTCAGCTCCCGTTTTCTCCACCGGCAACTGGGCCTGCAGGTGTTAATTGTCATCCATGTCAGCCCTTGCCATTTGCACAGTCTCCAACTCCAAGGCCATATTTTGGTAATTACAGTTGCTATGAGAATCCAGCCGGGACTTGAGAATTTGGAATGGTTGAGAATAGCGTTGTTCATGATGGATGGAGGATTAGTAGTCCAGGGATTAGAAGTAGCGATGTAATCCTTCCAGTCCCAGAGCTGGGGACTAGGAATGGCACAGTTAGTAACTCATCAGTTTAGTTCATGAGGGCTTATATACGTACTTGCACTTCATCATTTTGTGATATAAATGCATGGTTTTTTACTACAGTAGATATATGATATATGAGATGCACCCGTGTCTGAACCATTATATTAAAGTTGTCCAATCCAGCCGTCCAACAAGGGTATTGCAAAATTTCATACAATTGCATGTTTGATTTACCATTTTTATTCCGATGTTCATTTTCTGGATTTGTCGACCGGTTGTGACATTTGAAGTGTACTGTATGCACTGCCTTTTTCTAAATAATAGTGTGTGGTCACTAGTCAGGGTCCGGCCGTCGGGCTGTAGTTTTGGTGTCTTCTTGATTTTTAGGTCGGATTGGTGTCTTTCTGATAGGACTGCTGAAGGAGCCGCCACCCCCTGCGCTAATGAGAAATCCTTTTGTCATTGCGTGCATAGATACTGTCATGCTGGTGTATACATTCGGCGACTCACCTCCGTCTCGATGGAGCAGTAAATCTTGTATATTACTGGACACGGGTGTATGCAGCTTATGACAATACGAAATATTCCCTGAATATGCCCCAAAAGGTTTCTAGAATAATAAGAAGCTTTATAATTGAATATGGACAAATAGTACATATAGTATTTTGAATTAGTTGCTATTTAACCACCCACTTGAGAAGAGAAAGGGAAAGAAGTACCGCAATTTTTCAAAGGAACTTGAAGGCTTTTCTTATCCATTCCGGACTCTAATAAAAAGGTGAATTTTTCTGTTCATGCTTATCACCTGTTACTGTAAAACTGTGAATATATCAAATCCTAAAGTGTCCGGAGACCACTTTCGATAATTGTAAGTGATTTTACCGTTTTTGAGGAAGGACTTAACATTTTTAGTGTGTTTATAGTTTAAATACTTTTAACCGAAACGCTTATAAGCAAGTGTTTTCTACAAAATAGTCTAACACGAGCCTTCAAGGATAACTTAACTCCATTAAATTAATCTTATCACTGCAAATTAAGTAAGCTAAGACGCGTTTGAATATTAATTAACTAGGAGTAAGACAGCAGAATGCTGTCATGGTCGCTCTAGTACTCTACCCCGAAGGATGGACTTCGGTGTTGATGGAGAAGCATAAGCACGATGTGAAGACTTGACCGTAATTTCATATTCTGTCATTCCTCTTTGGACAAAAAGTCACCAACCCAATTAATAAAGTTATATGTTGATCAACATATGACTTTTGACCATGCCCTTTCAATTTATTGAAAAAGAATCTCAGCCAAAGAAACTTGACCGTATTATTTATCTCTAATTGAGTATTACTGCTACTTAGTACTACGATTTAACGATATTTTTCTTCACATGCAAGTTCAATTTTCGCCAAAAACGAATTTGAATCGTATTATTACTAACCTATTGTGAAGCTAAGCTTATCTCACTCACCCTTAGTGTAGATAATATCACTTGTTCAAAAAAAAAAAAGTATTGTTAAGTATAATTAGGAGGGTACATTTTATAAGGCCACATTTAGGGTTTAGTTTCTTGGCAGTGTTCTATTAGGAGATGAGCTAAACGTGATTACATATGCTTAACACTAATTAAGTTATGAAAGTGCTACTCTAGCTCAGCAAATAATCTCAACTTGTGTTGTTTGAAATGGAAATAATTAAACTAAGGTGTTTTGCTTTTGTGAAAGACAACTATAAAGCTTCCATTGTTTGTTCTCTTTTTTCCCTTGCAAGGGAAGAATACTGTGATGGCCTGAAATATTCTGTCTTCCATGTTTCCGGAAGAAAGTCAGGATAAAAGGCACTCAGTAATTCCTCACCAAACGCGACCATAATTCCAGAAAATTCACATGAATGTCATCATTTATTGAGACATATTTGAGTGATTGAGATCTAACGTTTAAATGCGTGTTGAAACTTGAAGCTGAATGCTTGTAGGTTCACAAAAACAGTTGATTTTCTACTAGCTAGATGCTTTTGATGTAGATAAATTAATTTTGAATGAACTTTCATCACTGAGAACTCAAGTGGGATACTTATTAATTAAGAGAAAGACTTGGCTCCTCAAAGATCAAGAAGCAAGGAAGAATTCCTCCTTAAAATACTTCATGGCATATTCACAAAATTTCATGGTAATGATCGAAACCGTTCATATTATAATCATTCTCAAATATCATCTTTGTAAAAAAATCATTTAAAATTAAGTTCATTTATTCATTGAATTGTATTAAAACAATAGATTTGATAAAACTATTACAAACCGTCTATTTATTTGTTGCAATTGATCGACTAAATGATTTTAGTGTTAACTGATTTTTTGCACACATGATCTTTACAGACTAATTTATAAAATAATTGTTCCAATCATAAGCACGAAATTCTGCAAGTAGGGCGATAAATATGTTGAGGAGAGGAGCCAACCTCTTCTCATTAATTAAAGAAAAAAAGTCTAAATTAGGAAAAGGATCCTCACTGGATCCTTCTCCTGTGGATCTGGGGGAATCCCGTGATCATGTATGTTCATCGTACATCGTGCGGTCAGAAATCATTTAAAATTTAAAATTTAAAATTAAATATCAATATTAATTACCTAACGAAAATTGACTGTACGATGTAAGATGAACGGCCATGATCCTTTTCCTCTAAATTATAGCTATATACGCCATCAGACTATAAGTAGATTGTGATTGGTAAATCTATCAACCAATGGTTGATTTCGACCGATAGGTATATAATCCAATCCCGAATTCCTTTCTAATACAACAATTCATTTCTATAGGGTGGTTTTATCGACACATTTTTTTTTATCTTCTGCACACTCCTCTCAATATTCTATTGTCGAATTAAATGAATTAAAAAGGATCAAAAACATAAATTAATAGAATGTGTGAAAAATAAAAAGAAGTGTATGGATAACATCATCCTCTTCTTTACTATAATGTTCACACTATCTTGCAGTGTGTGAAAGGAGACTATGCATGATGTATAAACTTACCCATAAAAGTCAAGAAATACAAAATACTATGTACACTTCATCAATTCAGACGAGTGCATCATTGATTCTATCACTGTACCAGCGAAAACTCTTATATTGATTTGAGCGTAACCAAGTTGCTCAATCCAAATTTTGACCACAATAGCAAGCAAAACGATCGTGCTTCAAAAGAGATCATCAATCACTAATGACTTTGGCTGTTTATCTGTAAAATTGATCAATTCTTCCTTTCTTGATGAGCAAGATATATTGACTTCACCTTCTAAACGTCACCACTCATATTGAATTATTTTATCTAGAAAAAATTATTTATGCTTAGAATATAAACGTTGAATGTACTTAAGACTTTCAAGTATAAAATGCAAGTACGCCATAACCCCACAAGTGTGAAAGCGTGACAAACTGGTTCGGGTGTCAATTCTTCTTAGTTTGTCTTTAACTTATTAAAATTTATTTACGTATTTGTTTTTTTAATATGATTATTTGTAAGCCATCAGATAGCGATACTCTATCAAAGGGCTAGTTTTACGACATTGACTGAGATTTCTTTATAATACAACAGTACATGTACAATAATGAGAGATAGTTGAGCTAAATCACACGAAAATATAGGATATTTTTATATGAGCGTTTCATGCATAATGTGATCAGGTGAGTACTTAATTATACGAGAATGTTCGTAACACTCAAAATTTGCTCTCTAAGAAGACTAAGATTGTCAAGTTCACCTTCACCTAAACTAGTATTTATATATTAAAGAAGAGAAAAAAGAAAACAAGGTTTTAAAAAGCATTAGGCGCTAAGTTGGGTGGCGAGTAGAGGTCTAGCGTCTAGGCAGGACCTTAGGTAGCCATTTTTTTAATTTTAATTAAATTTATTATATAACATATAAATAAATATCTACTTATACTTAAAAAAATACATAATTGTGTTAGATACATAAATTAAAATGGAATGACATATAGATTATAAAGTATTATAACATATTGAAAACATGTGGAACAAGCATATATATAATGAGTGTTCATCCAAAAGTATTCAATAAGTCTCTTACAATTTATAGAAAAAAATATAATGCAAAACGAAAGTTATCTCTAAGTGAGAGTCGTGAGAAATTTAAAAAAAAAATAGAAAAGAAGAAGATTGAATGGATTATCCCAAACATGCCTCCATTGCTGTCACACTAACTATATATGAAGGGAGGATTCTCTTAGGGCAAGCACTAAGTAAACTGCCTTATTCGCGGGAATTTCCTCCCCTAGGTGTTATCTCCTCACTAAGTTCTCTTCTTGTAATAAATAATTGAGGACTTGTTATTCAACAGTATAAACATGACTTATGGTCAAACAATATTAATATCGATAGATATCTATGTTTATTATATATCTATATTTATGAATTTTCTTTTAGAATAACTGAAATGAATTAAAAAAAAAATTATATACACATGGTTTCGATATGCTAATTAAAAAGATAGCGAGTCTATATTTTTAAAACAATGAAGAAAATATATATATGGCAAATCTAGAATACTATATAACAATTGTTTGTACCATACTTGACCAATCTCGAAACTACTGAGCACTGGTCAACGTTATACCGTCAAGGATCCAGAAGAGTTTCCCTCCAACCAGGAGGCCAATCACAGCGCGACACGTGTCGACATCAGAAGCCAATCATAGCGCGACACGTGTCAACATCATAAGCCAATCACAATACGACACGTGTCAATGTCAGAATGAAACTAGAAACTCTATTCTATAAATAAAGATCATTCTCTCATAATATTTCCTAATGTCATTTGTACTAAATCATTCACTAGTACTCACTAAAGGAGAGCTTGAACCTATGTACTTGTGTAAACCCTTCACAATTAATGAGAACTCCTCTACTCCGTGGATGTAGCCAATCTGGGTGAACCACGTACATCTTGTGTTTGCTTCCATGTCTATCCATTTGCATACTTATCCACACTAGTGACCGGAGCAATCTAGCAAAGGTCACAAACTTAACACTTTCTGTTGTACCAAAGTCCCCACTGATTTTGTGCATCAACATTTGGCGCCGTTTGTGGGAATGACACTTATTCCCACTCTCTTCAGCTTTGTTAAGCTGGTTTCCACCATTCGTACACTCTCTTTTGACCA